CACAGCCAAAAATAAATAAATTTTTTTTTTAAAAAAGAATAAAGGACAGATGGGGCAAATATAAACATATAGCAAATTAGGTAACTTAAATCCATATAAAAAAAACCCCAGAAAAACAGAAAAATCCATATCAGTAATTACTTAAAGTCTATATAAATAGATTAAATGCTCTAATTAAAAGATGGATATTGTCAGATGGGACTTAAAAAAAGACCCAGTTATTTGCCATTTCAAGAGACATATTTTAAATACAAAGATACAAATAGTTGAAAGTAAAAGATTCAGAAAAACTACATCATGTAAACACTAACCGTAAGAAAACTGGTGTGAATGGTGATTGAAACATTAAAAAAAAATTTTTTTTAAAAGAAAGCTGGTCTGGAACTATTTATATCAATCAAATGAGATATGAGATCAAATGATTGTATAAAAGACAAAGAGGGGCATTTCATATGGATAAATGGTCCAATTGACCAGAAAGAGATAAAAATCCCATGTATATTTCTTTAAATATGAATTTAAATATATGAAGCAAAATTGACAGAACCAAAAGGTAAAATAGACAATCTACTATGATAGCTGGAGATTTTAATACAGGTCATATTGTAATTTATAGAGGAAGCCAACAAAAATCAGAAGGCATATTGACAGTAGAACAACACAGTTTACCAACTTGACCTAAGTGACGATTATACACCATCATATCCAACAACCACAGAATACGTATTATTTTCAAGTGAACGTGAGACATTAACAAAAATAGGCTATGTGCTATATATAGAATGCTATATAAAGTTATATAAATCATTTTCAATAAATGTCAAAGGACTAACGTCATACAAATATGTTCTCTGATCACAATGAAATTAATTAGAAATTAATAACAAAAAGATAACTAGAAAATGCCAAAATATTTTAAAACTAAGTAATACATTCTAAATAATCCATGAGTCAAATTGAAAACACAATGGCAATGAGAAAATATTTTGAACTAAAGTACAATAAAAATACAGAATATAAAAACTTGTGAGATATAGCCAACACAGTGATTTAGAGGAAATTTTCTATTTCTAAATGCATGTATTAGAGAAGAAGAAATGTGTGTAGTCAGTGATAAAATTTGACCTCAAGAAGCTAAAAAAAGAGGAGCAAATTAAACACAAGGAAGGCGGAAGGAAGAAAATAATAAAGATAACAGAAATTAATAAAGTAGAAAAATGTCCATCAAGAGGAGAAGGAATAAGTAAATTGTGGTATATTCATGCAATTGGATACTGCACCGCATTAAGAAAGAACTGTTGATAACTCTCAGAAATACTGCTTGATTGAAATACATCTAACACAAAGAGTCCATATATTGTTCTATGTATATGACATTCAGGACTAGGCTAAAGTATCATAATGGAAGTGACAGTGGAGGTTATTACATGTGGCAGTATAGACAAGAAAAGAGGCATGAAGGAACTTTCTGGGTTGATGACACTGTTCTGCAGCTTGTACAGGAAGGAGGTTACAAAGGTCTATGTGTAGGTAAATATCAAACTATACAATTAATATATGTAAGTTTTACTGTCTATAAAGCATGTCTCAATTTTAAATGAGAATTCAAAGCAGCATCTAAGGAACATGTTTTCCATGGGGCAAATAGAGATGTATATGGATGTATTAACTTTGAGATACCTGTTGGAGGAACAAGTGGGAATGTTGAACTGGTAGTGGAATGGTAAGGATGAAATCCAAATAAGACTGGGTCAAGAAGAAAATAGGAAGTCACCAGAAAGACAACAAATGCAGACCACATTTTGAGAAGTATTGCTGTATAGGAGAGTAGAGATATGGGGAAAGATGAAAATGAGAAAAGGAGACGGAGAATTTTATGAAGGAAGAGATAGCATTTATTTCATGTAGTAAGATGAGATGGATCTAAGTGGAGGGTGAGAGTTTAGATAAGAGGGGGGACGATTTTCCACTGTAACAGGAGAGCAGTTACAGTAAGCAACTCCACGTGCCAGTAGGTTGATATATTTATCATTGGAAGCATGATGTAATTTCTCATCTGAATATGTCTTCCTCAGTAAAGTGTAAGATGAATTCAGCTGAGAGAGAGAAGAATGTATGAGATTTGAGGGTAGAGGAAAAAATGTAAAATAATCATGTGAGAATATAAAAGTAAATTTATTAGACGAATATCAGCCTTTTAGACTCATTTGAGATTAGTGCTCATAAATTTTAGTGATGCACAGTTGTGTAGTTTTTTCCAACAACGTTTAACTGCCCTAGATCACATGTTGTTTTAGGTATAAATTGGGCATTCTCACATAGAATAATTTTATCTTAATGGATTACTCAATTACATGGTAAGCCAATTTTACTGTCTACCTTTATATTAAATGGACTAACTTAACTAGTTGTCATCCCCACTCCATTTTTTTCAATTGCTGTTTCTGTTTTTAATGAAGAAATATTAAACTCAGGTATCCTAAAACTGTGAGTGCCTCTGTTTCATCAATGGAAGCTTTACATTTGATTTTAACTTTTGAGTAAAAACAAAGACTAAAAAGGAATTTTAAAGGATAGCTATATTCATGAGTGCTTCTTAATTTTATATATAGTTACCTAGTTTATGTTAAACATTGATATTTTCAGATCTTCAATCTGTTGGAAGAGTGTGAGTGTCTGTAAACTGAATTCAAGCCATGATTATCAGAAGTATAAAATGAAAACAAAATCATCTCAAAAAAACCCTAGGTGCTTGTGAAATAAAGCTAATTTTTCAGCCTTAATTTCATACAGATGCTATGAAGAAAAAATGAATTTTACTGATAATTTAATTTAAATGACTCTTACTTCAAATAAACAACCCTATACCAAAAATATATATGAGATTCCATTCTCCAGAAGCAGGAGGAAATTCTCAAAAAGCAGTATAAAATGAAACAAAGCCACTTGAGAAAAACAACATAAGATGTTCATGAAATAAGGCAAAATTTTCAGCCTCAATTTCATATGGATGCTTTGAACAAAAAAATGAATTTTAGTTATGATGTAACTTAAATGACTGTTACCTCAAACCATTCTAAACCAAGGGAAAATATGTGGTTCAATTCTCAAAAAGCAGGAGAAAATGGGGAAAGGGAAAGCATTCACATTTAGCAAGCGCCTACTTCGTTCCAGGCACTAGTCAAGCATTTTTAACAGGACTCTCCGAAGGCTATTACTCAAAGTGTATCTCACCAGGTACGAAAACTGGATTTGGTCCTGAAAAGTGTTAACATTTAGACTAAAGTATAGTCTGATGTGCACTTTTCTTTATTATGGAAATGTGTAAATCATCTCACTCAATTAACTATTGTGAAAAGACTACAGATATTTTTACCCAAAGAAGCATATAGAGAGATCAAAAATGTCTAACTATTTGAACCATTATTCCCCACATAAAACTTTTAGCTTAATCTGCTTTGTTATAGAAGGGACTTGAGTTGTTTGGGATAATTCATGCATAAGTTCCTCTATATTGCATGGCATATTATATGTTTCACTTTAATATCTCTGCAGCTATTACAATTTTAAATGGCAACAAAATGGAGAAATGAGGATTCTATGTGACTTCGTTGCTCTGGATAAAACACTTTGCTCCTTTTACAAGAAATCATAGTGGTAAACATGTCTTTCATAAAGCGGCAGTGTGTATTTATTGTGAGAAATACTTTGCTTCAAAATCGTTTAAATGAGGCCAAGAGGAGTTTAGATATAAACTTCATGCTGAGTTCAAAGATTTATAAAACCAGTCAGGAATTTTTAGTGATGGTGTTTTTCTCAGCTGAAGCTTGATTTTATGCATGTGGGTAAAATGGATGAATCAATGGGTTTGTGCTATAGAAAACCTCTGTATTTGACATAAAGATTCACTCCATCAATTTCACTAAGACAAATTAGAGTCAATACGTAAACCTACCTGTTCTTCATAAAAGTTCTAAATTTTGAAAATGACCAACATCTCTTTCAATCAATTTAACAAACATATTAATGACAAGATAACATGATTCATGGATTCAGCAAGGTGAAATGGATTAACAATGAAATGCTCAGAATATATTTCAGGTACCATATTATGATCAGTGGCCTTTGACCACCATATTTTCTAAACTAAAAATCACCCCCCCCTCTAGCTTGTGGGAATGCCTTTGGTAAGTGTAAATGCTAACAATCCCCAATTTTTGGAGATAGTTAAAATATTCCCTGGCCCATTGTAGTTATTAATTGTAGGAGCTAAATTTAAAAATATTCAGGTCAATTGCTTCCTTTGCAAGTATATTCTCCCATTCTGAGGGTTGTCATTTCTCTTGTTTATGGTTTCCTTTGCTGTGCAAAAGCTTTTAAGTTTAATTAGGTCCCATTTGTTTATTTCTGTTTTTATTCTCATTACTCTAGGAGGTGGGTCAAAAAAGATCTTGCTGCGATTTATGTCAAAGAGTGTTCTGCCTATGTTTTCCTCTAAGAGTTTTATAGTGTCTGGCCTTACATTTAGGTCTTTAATCCATTTTGAGTTTATTTTTGTGTGTGGTGTTAGGGAGTGTTCTAATTTCATTCTTTTACATGTAGCTGTCCAGTTTTCCCAGCACCACTTATTGAAGAGGCTATCTTTGCTCCATTGTATATTCTGGCCTCTTCTGTCATAGATTAGGTGACCGTAGGTGCAAAGCATTAATCTCCAAAATATACAAACAGCTCATGCAGCTCAATATCAAAAAAACAAACAGACAGCACTGCAGCCAAGATGAAGCTTTCTGGCTGACGGAAGAAAGGCGAGGGGTGGGCTCAGAGCCCCGGGAAGTGCTCGCTTGCGGCTCCACAGCAGCGGTAAAACTGGAGTCCCGCTCCAGCAGAGCCCGGCGTCCGGGCGGAAGCAGCGTTCTTTCTCGAGCGGTGGCCTGGCGGCCGCTTGCCTACACAACCTCAGACTTGGCTGCCCGGAACTAAGAGAGCATCCTCGCCTGGTGTTGATGTTGAATATGCCTTATTAGCATATTAAAATGGCTGTGCCCAAAGACGCCATCCCTTCCTTGTTGGAATGCCAGTGCCAGATCTGTGTGGAAATCCTAATTGAGCCAGTGACACTCCCTTGTAACCACACGCTCTGTAAACCATGCTTCCAGTCGACTGTCGAAAAGGCAAATTTGTGCTGTCCCTTCTGTCGCCGCCAGGTTTCTTCGTGGACTCGGTACCATACCCGAACAAATTCTCTTGTCAATATGGAACTGTGGGAGATAATTCAAAAACACTATACAGAGGAATGCAAGCTTAGAGCCTCTGGGCAAGAATCAGAGGAAATTGTTTATGACTATCAGCCAGTTCGCCTATTAAGTAAACCTGGGGAATTAAGAAGAGAATATGAAGAGGAGATAAGCAAGGTGGAGGCAGAGCGACGAGCCAATGAGGAAGAAGAAAACAAAGCCAGTGAAGAATACATACAGAGATTACTGGCAGAGGAGGAAGAAGAGGAAAAGAGACAGGCAGAAAAAAGGCAAAGAGAGATGGAAGAACAACTGAAAAGTGATGAAGAGCTGGCAAGAAAGCTAAGCCTTAATATTAACAATTTCTGTGAGGGAAGTATCTTGGCTTCGCCGTTGAATTCCGAAAAATCTGACCCAGTCACAACCAAGTCACAGAAGAAAAGTAAGAACAAACAAACGAACACTGGAGATATTCAGAAGTATTTGTCACCTAAATCTCAACCTTGGTCAGCATCACAGTCTGAAGTTGTACAAGAAGACAGGAAAGCCTCCATGTCTAAGGAAGCTGACAGCAGTGATGTGAAGAGTGCTACATGGCAAGACACAGAAATTGAGGAAGATATGCCAACACTTTCTCCTCAGATATGCCTTGAAGTTCATGAACAAGGTGCACAATCTTCAGTGGAGTCACCTATGCCTCAGTTATGTGCCAGTGGTAAAGAATGGTGCCTTGAAGGAAAAGTCAAAACAGGACCAAGCAATCATGAAAAAGAGTTATGTGTCATAAATCATGAGGGACCTGAAGCCAGAGTTCCCTACTCTGGAGAAGCTGCAGTTAAGCCTTGTGGCAAAACAGAGAGTCGGTGCACTGTATCAGATATGACACAGATAATTAGAAATAACACAGCTGAGACAGAAAATGAAGAGTCTCACCTACTGATCAGTAAAGATATCTCCAAAAGAAAAAACCAGGAATCTTTGTCTGAAGCAGTCAGGGATCCATGCTTTTCTGCAAAAAGAAGAAAAATGTTCCCCAAAGCTTCCTCAGACCAAGAAGAAACAGAAATCAACTTTACCCAAAAACTGATAGATTTGGAATGTCTACTTTTTGAGAGACGTAAACAAGAAGAACAGGACAGGTTATTAGCATTACAGCTTCAGAAAGAGGTGGATCAAGAACAAATGAGGCCAAACCGGCAAAAAGGATCCCCAGATGAATATCAGTTACGTGCTACATCCTCACCTCCAGACAAATTACTAAATGAAGAAAGGAAGAATTCCAAAGATAGAAACTTCAAAAGACAAACTAATCTAGAGCATCCAAAACCTAGGAGAGGCTCAAAAAATGAAAATGGGCAACCTTGTTTTAAGATCCAGTTGAAACGTTCAGTTAATGGAAGAAAGATAACAAATTCTACTAGAGATAATTGTAATGTTTCTAAAACTCCTCATTCCCTACAGCCTAGTAAGTCACAGAAAAGTATTTTTCAGATGTTTCAGAGATACACAAAGTAGTGCTTGGGTAAGGGGAGTGTTGTATAATCTAGTGAAGCTCTCTATCATAGATTCTTTTTAAATTTTTCATTAATTCTGCTTCGTGGGCATACTCACGGTCCTTTAAATTAAAGGACGGTGTGATTAGAGGGGAGGAATATACAAATGTGTTTCTGCCAAACTCGGTTGTAAGCAAGAGTCCCACTTCTTTCCTTTTTTAATCACTGGTGTACTAAATTTAAGTTGACAGTCCTTATGGATATAAAAATGCCTTGGCCAACTCCCAAGAAATCTTCATTTCCATGCATTTCCCCCCATATGCATGTTTTGTGGCCTTCACGCACCTTTTTGTACTGACTAGTAATCAGAGCAACATTATCGTATACCAAGTAGCTAAGGAATCCAGGCAGGGTTTAGAATCTAAGTTTTCTTGCAACTTTCCCATATATTTGCAGAGCACTTGGAGTACATCTTTCATAACACTAAAGTAATCTAATTTCCATGTCCACTTCAATTACTTTAAGTATTAGAGCATTTTTTTTTTTTGACTTAAAATGGGTTAGGATCAACGTGAAAGCAGAAAAATCAGAGTTTTCTGGAAACTTAGCTGACAGAAAGGAAACTAGACTCTTGATGCAAAGGTAGATAAGCTTGGGATGAGGCTGAGTGGGGTAGATTGACAATTTGGAGGCCTTGAAACTGAGTGGATGATCAGACAACTGGGTCCAGGCTGGAGTAGCAGGTGTAGTTTGGCAAAGTATTCTTCCTCGTGCTTTCTTTGCTAGATGGCACAGAAAACATTTGGGTTTTAACAGCTTTTCATACCATACTATCTAATCTGCTGTTCCAAAAAAGCAGGGGGGGGAGGGTTTACTGTAGGAGAGTTATGTCACAGTATCCTATGTTGTAGAACCTGACTAACCATGTGTTTATTTCCTTATGTTAACCTTTGTATTGATACGGACTTTTATTTGTGTTTATGGACAAAAATAGAAAGTTTGATATTTGGGTTTTGCTCTGTCTTGCCCCTGAAAGTTAAATCAGAAAGCTGCGATTTCATTTTGTGAAATTTAACTTAGAGACTATTAATCTTTTGTTTCATTAATAGGAACAACTGAGCAAACAACCGTTTTAACAGCATTGCTGCTGATATCTAGTTAGCCATCCTTTTAAGGTAATCAATGAACTGTCCTAGAGCTAATAATTCTAGCTTAAATTTGTCAGTGTTTTTATACATAATTAAGATTTTTTTCCTCCAAATTTTGTAACTGAAATTCTGTAATCTTTGCATACTTGATGGCGTCTACTTCAATATTGATTGGGTAATTATGGGTAGAATTCTAATGCTGATTTAAATTTTAGTTTACCCTTTCTCAAAAGTGATTGTCCCCTGAGTAATGACTGTGCTGAAATGTAGTTAGAAACTAACCAAATTTGTCTAAAATATATCTTTTCATCAAAAAAAAAACAAAAAAACAAAAACAAAACAAAAACAAACAAACAACCCAATCAAACAATGGGCAGAAGACCTAAATAGACATTTCTCCAAAGAAGACATACAGATGGCCAACAAACACATGGAAAGATGCTCAACATCACTAATTATTAGACAAATGTAAATCAAAACTACAATGAGGTATCACCTCACACCAGTCAGAATGGCCATCATCAAAAAATCTACAAACAGTGAATGCTGGAGAGGGTGTGGAGAAAAAGGAACCCCTGTGCATTGTTGGTGGGAATGTAAATTGATACAGCCTCAATGGAGAACAGTATGGAGATTCCTTAAAAATCTGAAAATAGAACTACTATATGATCAAGCAATCCCACTACTGGGCATATACCCAGAGAAAACCATAATTCAAAAAGGCACATGCACCCCAATGTTCATTGCTGCACTATTTACAATGGCCAGGTCATGGAAGCAACCTAAATGCCCATCGACAGACAAATGGATAAGGAAGATATGGTACATATATACAATGGAATATTACTCAGCCATAAAAAGGAACGAAATTGGGTCATTTGTAGAGATATGGATGGACCTAGAGACTGTCATACAGAGTGGAGTAAGTCAGAAAGAGAAAAACAAGTATATATTATCGCATATATGTGGAATCTGAAAAAATTGGTATAGACGATCTTATTTACAAAGCAGAAATAGAGACACAGACGTAGGGAACAAACATATGGCTACCAAGGGGGAAAGCGGACTGGTGAGATGAACTGGGAGATTGGGATTGACATATATACACTATTGACACTATGTATAAAATAGATAACTAACAAGAACATACTGTATAGTACAGGGAACTCTACTCAGTGCTCTGTGGTGACCTAAAAGAGAAGGAAATCCAAAAAAGAGGGGATATATGTATATGTATAGCTGATTCACTTTGCTGTATGGTATAAACTAACACAATATTGTAAAGCAATTCTACTCCGATTTTTAAAAAATAAAAAATAATAAAAAATAAAAACGTTCAGGTCAAAATTGGGATTGACATATATACACTACTATGTATAAAATAGGTAACTAATGAGAACCTACTGTATAGCACAGGGAAGTCTACTCAGTGCTCTGTGGTGACCTAAATGGGGAGGAAGTCTAAAAAAGAGGGTGTATATGTATAGCTGATTCACTCTGCTGTACAGCAGAAACTAAAACAACATTGTAAAGCAATTATACTACAATAAAAATTAATTTTAACAAATTAAAAATTAAATAAAATAGAAAAAAAAACATTCAGGTCGGCCAGAATGCATGGCAGTGGGCATTTCTAGCAGTGGTTATGAACAACTTTAATGTTTGATGCAACATTTTCTACATGTATTTTATAAAGTATACATAGATACTGACATTATTAATATATATATAATGCTGTCCAGTTTACAGAGCATTTTTTCAAATTTTATTTGCCCCTCACAACAACTCCATGGAATAGAGTTATCATCCTAGTTTTTCAGGTTAATAACCTAATTAGGAAGATGTAAAATTGGGACTCAAACACAAATCCTCCCTTTTCTGACTCCCCAGGCCAAACTTTTTCCACTGAATCATTCTGAATCTCTATTGATATGGTATGCTCCGTCTGTACTCATATAAAAATATACCTGCATACAACTTGGATTCCCATATCATTGGGAAACCTTCATCAGTGAAAACAGAAAACCATAAGGTATTATAACATTGTGTGATGTGGAGAACACACCATAATGTGGTAAGGGGCAAATTGCAGTTGAAGACGTTCTTTGTAGAGAATGAACATGTGAGTTTTATAACTACCTAGAGATACTAACATATAAAGACTTTTTTATTTCTACCTTACAGAGATAGTGACAGAAAATAACCTGTCAGAGAACTGCTTAAAATCAGAGATTTTAACCAGATGAACAGCATCAAACATGCTGCAGTAATAATCAGATCTTTAAAGATCTGATTATTGTTTCTGTTTCTTTATTTAACAAATATGTATTGAGTGCCTACTCTTTGGCAAGTATTGTACTTGATGCAGGGGTAGAGTGGGCAATAAAAAGGACATGGTCTCACCTTTGTGAATTACAGTCTAATGAGGGTGATAAATATAATTTTAAAAATAAAAATCGGGTTTCCCTGGTGGTGCAGTGGTTGAGAGTCCGCCTGCCGATGCAGGGGACACAGGTTCGTGTCCCGGTCCGGGAAGATCCCACATGCCGCGGAGCGGCTGGGCCCGTGAGCCATGGCTGCTGAGCCTGCGCGTCCGGAGCCTGTGCTCCGCAACGGGAGAGGCCACAACAGTGAGAGGCCCGCGTACCGCAAAAAAAAAATAATAATAATAAAAATCAATCGTATAATTACCATATGGACAAGGTATAAAGGAAAAGGGCTGTTTTCTATGTGAGAGGATCAAAGAGGTACCTAATATAAATTGAAGGATCAGGGAAGGCCCCTTTGAAGAAGTGATATTTAAGCTGAAATTTAAAGAATGAGTTATCAACTACTTTTCTCCTCTATTATCTTTTAATGTTACATCTTTTATCTTGTTAATGCTTATGCAATATTAATAATAAATTGGAATGGAGTTTAAAATACTGAAAAGAAGCTGCTAGATGTTAGGGATATATTATATATGGTAATTGTAATAATAGAATTGGAAGGTTAATTTACCATGACTGCTTTATCAGTCTACTATTGCTACATTCAATTTGTATAAAAACAACCCCAAATTCTCAGTAATATATAATGGCAAGGATTTATTTTCACAGATGAGGGTTGGCATGTCTCTCATCCTTGAGATGAGAAAGTGGGAGCTTTTTCTTCTCATGGCAATGATAAATGTACAAGAGGGAAATAAGAAACATGGGAGGCCTCTTAAGTCCTGGCAGAGTTGGTACACTATAACTTCTGCCCCATTCCATTGCCCAAAGCAAGTCATGTGGCCAAACTCAAAGCCAAAGGGCAGGGAAGTGTATCACACCCTTTAAGAGGCCATGGCAAGGATGTGGATGCAGAGAGAGGTGAAATATTGGAGCCAATAATTTATTCTACCTCTCTTGCTATGGATTATACTAATAGATATATCCCTGGCAGAGGTATATGTCAACAATGTATCAAATTTAAATAATTGACTTCAATAAACTAAGAACATCATACTCTAAATATATGCCCAAATTACGTTAAAAAGACCTCTGACTGGTTATAATGAATCAAGTCCAAATGATAGATTCCAAATTGTGGTCAACAAACCAGCTATTTTGCATTTGATGTAACAAAACTCCTAAACATGCTATTGTTATTCTACATGCAAAAAGTACTTACTGAGCACAGTAAGAAATACCAAGCAATATGAGACATGAATAGAAAACATACAAGTTTGAGACAATTATCCTTATCTTACATCGGAAGCCTGGACAAAGTTAGCACACACGGAAGATGTATCCAGTCCCCACTAGGCCATGTGATAGATGCCATGTGACAGGCATGTGATGGATGCCAGAAATGTGGAAGTCCTGATCTGTCTGCAAAGAAGTTATGAATGGGCTATGCTAAGTAGTGATTTGACTGTCTGAATCAT